ATATATGTGTGTGTGTATATATATATATATATATATATATATATATATATATTTAGGATCACATACAAACTACTCCTAATTTACAAAATGCAAATTAATCCTAATCGTTCATTTTAATGAGGCAACGGTTGAGATAGGAAAACATTCTCACTAACCACATGTCCGCATGTTTTGGTTAAGGGGAAAAAACTCCCCCAGTAATACGGTGAGTATTAATGCTCAAAAATAAAATCTAACCCTTAATTTTATAATATTGGACGGATGAGATGATTTTGTATTATGTACGGGAAGCATACTTTGTATCTGATCTTAACCGTATATATATATATATATATATATATATATATATATATATATATATATATATATACACATACACACACACACACACACACACGATAGTATATACTTCCTCCGTTCTTTTTTAGTTGCAACATTCCCTTTTTCACGCTTGCCAATGCACAACTTTGACCGTCATTATATTTAATTCTCTATTAGTTAAAAACATTTAAAAATCAGATTATGAAACTTCGTAATGAGACGAATTCAACAATATTTTTCGAAAAAAATAATTCACATACATTAGTAAATAAAATGTAGTCAAAGTAGAGTGCATGAATAGTGCGTAAATTCTAATGTTGCAACTATTATGATACGGAGGATAGTATAATCTATTTTTTCACAAAAAACATATCAAATTTATTTTTTCAGCATATAAAAAAATTAAAAAAACAAATCTTTTTCTCTTAAATCTATTTTTAGCCGTTTTTATTTGACACATACAATATTAATACCATATGAAAGACCATAAAAATTTAAAAACACCGATATATTATATTTGAAAAAATTGAACCAAAACGAAAAACTTATAACAATTGTAAAATTTAAAAGATCCATGTGGCCGTCCAATAGGGTGGGGTATAGTTCACCCTCTTTTGAAGGTGAACAAAATTGTTCTCTCCAAACCCCACCGTCAACTTCATTTTTCACTCTTTATGAATGCCACTCAACTTATTCCCTTCTCCGTACTTTCCCTTGCTTCATTTTTATACGCATAAAAGGTGTTTTATTTATGTGTTCTAATTGATGCTTTGGTGTTGATTAGAGTCGTTTGATAACTCCTCTTTTGAATTTATCTGACTTATCAATCAACACTTTCGTCAAATATGTAATTTTTATTTTACGCTAAATTGTACTCCTTCCGTTCTCTAATAATTGTTCCTCTTTCCATTTTGGGATGTTCTCTATTAGTTGTCTCCATTTTCATTTTTGGTAAGTTTTTTCAATAAGTATACCCATTTACCCTCATTTTCTTTCCAACTTTTTCCTTTACACACAACTCACTACACCTTTTATCCTACCCTATTAATTTCATCTTAAATCTTGTAACAAAGGCTATACTCTCATCTATTAGACAACGGAGGGAGTATAATAATCAAAATAAGAAGTAGTCCATACAATGTAGTTAATTTATTTTTTTTGGACTGAATTGAATGCTTATTCCCATCAAATAGGCTCTTACATCTTACTCGTATCTTATTTTAAGTTTTTGAAACATAAATAGTCATAGTGATATTACATGAGTTAAAATCTTACATCTTATCTTGTTTTAAGTTTTTGAAAAATAAATAATTAGTGATATCACATGAGTTTAAAATTTGTTTAAATGACCTCAATAGTCAAATACGGAGTAAAACGCAAGGGGTGCCCATTACACTATTTTCTCAAAAACCCTTCAGTTTATAGAAAAAATTCATCTACCCACTCAAACATCCCAAGTGGAGTTGCACACTTCTACTTATCACCGCCCTTCAATTTCATTTCTCAAATCCACCGATTTCTCGTTACTTTGTCTAGATCTGATAGATGTGTCCCATTAATACTCGCTGATTTAACTCAAATCGGATTTTTAATTTCATATATCAAATGTTTGTGTCATCTATGTCCATGTATTTCAAACGCATACGTGGATATCCCAACATTTCATTCCAACATATTTATATTTACCGGAAAAGAAGAATAAAAACTCATTCAAAACTTAATTGAAATTGTGTGGACTGGTATTTTCATGGTAGTTTTCCTTTATAAATGTTATTATTACTGAACACTCCACAAAATAATAGTCTGTGACAAATGCATACCGTAGTGTGTGTGTTTGTGGATTTATATAACTGTACCGTGCATATTCATCCCTATTTTTCTCAGTCAGACTTTGAGGAAGAGAGAAATCAGAGAAGCTAGAAGTTTGTTGTGGAAGCTTTCGAGCAAGTGTGAGGGATCTCTTGGATAGAACTATGCTTTTATAGCCAAAGTTTTCGTTCTAAAATCTAGTTGCCTAAAAAATACGGAGTACTCCGTATGTATGAATCTGAGAGCACTAGTCATGAAAAATGGAATGAGTAAACTATACACATAAGATTTTTTAAGACATTGCACCTCATGAGCATGAGCTCTTAAATCTTATCTAGATATTTGTATTTTTATATTCATTTTAAACTTGTTCGTGGTGCTTCCCCCCAATAGCCACCTCTACATCAACCAATAGGAATTGCTCATTCTAAATATTTCCCCTAAAATCCTCCAAAATCTACTTTAAACTGTTGAGTGAACAATGTGAGCATGGGCCTTTCAACTTTATCACTGTACACTATCTCCTTTACTTCAATTTTTAATCTTATTCTGCACGCAATGTCTCAGCTTGGAAATTATCTTACGCATATATCCCTATTCCTTTGGGTGTGGAGAATTTTTAATCTTTTGCTATCTATTATGTTACTATTTGCCTTGATGTTGACATATTTGAGCGGGAACCCTATTCCTAAAATTCTTTTGCTTTTATATATTAATAGATCCTTGCATAATAACGGTGCAACATCCTCATTAGGGGTGGACCGGTTCCGGTTCGGGCCTGGGCCCGGCCGGGCCTCGGTTCAGAAAAAGGAGGCCCGAGCCCGAACCGGTGGTGGGCGGTTCCGGTTCCGGTTCCGGGCCAGAACCGGGCCGGGCCGGGCCGGGCCACCCGGAATGTTTTTTTTTTTTTGCTTCTTCTCTTATTTAACCCCCTACCCCTCCCCCTCCATCCCAAACCACCCCAAACCACCTCAAATGGCCCAAAATACCTAATCCAACCCAAAACTTAAAAAAATTTCAAAAAAAAAAAAAAATTAATTCCGGGCCGGTTCACTAAACTGGAGGCCCGGGCCCGGACCGGTATACCACCGGGCCGGGAGGCCCGAACCGGAACCGAACCGGTTCACCGGGCCGGTCCGGTTCCGGGCCGGTTGGCCCGGCCCGAGTCCATCCCTAATCCTCATGTGCTAGCAGCTAGCCATAGCGGGATAGAGGTAGTAAAGACGCGTTTGAAGTTGCTTCTGCTTTTCTGCTTCTTTTTTAAAAGTAAAAGCAAAATCAGTGTCAATTTTTGAGAAGTTGTCTTTCTTAAATTCTATAAAACTGTTGAGTATGTTTTGGAGCATGTTTTTAGGAGTGTTTTGGAGCATCGTGAAGTACTTTATACATTTGGACATTGTAAGAAGTTGATCCAAACACCCATATATCTTTTGTGGGGGTGTTAATCTTATTTGTATAAAAATATAATGTTCAGTCACGTTCATGGAATTTTTCCAAATTATTCAGTTAAACCGCTTCAATCCACAAGTAATTTGTTAGTCTGTACCCATTTTGCGCGATGCTACTTAACAAATTTGATAGTTTAAATTGAAAAATCCAAAAAAAAAAATGTATTACATTTACATCTAAAAACTATTCCGTAATCCGTATGATTTTTTAGGGAATTCGTTTAGCAAAATTATCATTGATGGCCTGATGGAGTGATGGGGCCTCGTTTATATGGCTTAATCTTCTAAGAGTAAGAGGCTAAGAGCCTTGTTGTTACGGAGAATGATAGAAAAGACAAACCAGTGTGACAATGCGATAATGCCATGTCATTGGATGCATGTTCTACTATACATCACTGATCACTCCTACTACTTATCCTCCAAAGAGTAATGGATATGCTTTGGGAAGGTGGGTGTAGACGTGTAGTCCAATTAATGATCATCCACTCTTTCCTTTGTGAGGAGCTAAGTTTTGGGTTCAATTTTCACTCAGGGGAGATGAAGGAGGTCTTACTTCCAATGATCAGGTTCAGATTTACCAGTCTAGGGGCTTTAGAGGGTAGCACATAGACTACAGAATTATGGGAGCATAAGCCCCGACATCTGAATTATAAAAAATGGATATGCCTTCATTAATGGATTTTCAATAAACTTTGGTTAGTATACATATAACTTCTCTACCATACAATAATACAGTGCTGCAAAACGACGTATAGCTTTCACCGATCAGGTTCCACGCAAAAATGCTCAATCTATACTTATTTCATGTCGGACAATTTGTTTCATCGTAATGTTTAAGTGATCCAAATGAAAAGAAATACTCCCTCCGTCCCATTTATATTATCCCGTTTTACCTTTTCGGGAAGTCCCACTTAAATTGTCACCCTCTTCCGTCCCAATATAAATGGGATGGTGGTAGTATTTGATAATCTTCACATAATATTTAGGTTTTTCTTATCATTAATATATATTATATCTTAGAGTTGAATATATAAAGTGTGACACTATTAATTTCTACAACCTCCTCTTTACTTTTGCATGTGTAATCAACAACTATAGGAAATAATACAATCATGGTTAGGGGTGTACAATCATGAGTCAAAATTAAGTAGGGTTGGAGACTTGGAGTGATCACATTGTATAGCTTTGTATACCTTTTCTCTAAGTCTGTATATCATACAATACAAATTGTACAACCGGTGACATATTTTGGTAATTTAAGTGAAATTCGTGACTTCTGCCTAATGAGCCTTTAATGAGCATTAGATCTAGTTTATTGAATATTAAGAGGCTAATAATAAGCATCGAAATATCAACTTCATATCTTATAATTCACTTTCTTTTTCTTATTTTTTTAAAATATCTACAATGAACACATATAAATCCAATATGTGAATTTAATATAAATTATACTTTTGAAATATACATGAACATGACATTTAAAAATAAGTATTACACCAATACTAAATGAGCATACATAATTCACGAAATGAGCATTGAAGAAATTCAAAAAGCTCATTCCAAATGCCTATTATGCTCATAATTTCATTTGTGTATGCTCATATATGTAGAACTACGTATAATTTAGGTTTCTCCTAACCTGCGACCAACAAGTGACCAAACTCACTAACCAAAACTGCGTAAGCTGGAGTTTGATGTGATGCTTTCGTGCTGGAGGATTGCGAGTGGCAAGTGATCTTCTGTGTACAGCGGCAAGCGAAGGACCAGCAGCAAGAACGAATGGCGAATAGTGATGGAAGCTAGCGATTTGCGATCTCCAAACTAAAAGCCCGACTGTACCGTACGTACTTTACAACCATCTGTAAGATAAAATTTGCACTTTCCTCTTGCACAGGTCATACCAATTCAATTATTTTTCTAAGGGTGTGGGCAGAACAAAATGTTGAACTTGAATTGAGACTATACAGATTGTTTTCATATAATATTTTACATAAAAAATATTACGTTTTTTTCAAACTTGAGGGGGGGGGGGGGCAGGATGCCTCGTTGCCTCCCCAACTAAAACCACTTTCTAAGAAGTCCTTGCAAGTTTCAACTGCATGTGTGGACTTTGCTATAAATGGTGTCAAGTTACAATTTTTAGTTTTGATTCTGGCTGGCTTTCTGCTTTGAGAATAAAACGAATTACAAAAGTTCATTTGTGTAAATAATCTGTGTGGAAGTTATACAAACGGGGATTATATAGATCATAACTCAATAGCTTGAAGTTATAAAATAATAAAAGCTTTGACTGAGGAAGTGCATTGTAATATTAGTTGAACCATTCTTTATAAAGGCTGCTAAACCATTGAAAGCCTTTTTTTCATTGGACTTCACTGGTTAGTAATAAAATCACACTTCTCAAGAACAATTGAAGCAACTCCATTGACTTACTCAGGTGCAATCTGAACAATCTTTTTTCCGACATTGTCCCCATGAAAAGTTCCGATGAAAGCCATGGGAATGCTCTCAATGCCGTGGGAAATATCTTCAAGCACCTCAATCTTCCCATTCTCGAGATACTCTCTAGTCTTGGCATGGAAATCTATATATGATTTCATCATGATGAAATCAGCAGCAAGGAACCCTTGGATCTTGATCCTCTTATAAACCACGTCTAGCATGTTGGGTGCGCCCCGCTTTGCGGGGTCTGAGTACTCGGAGATTACACCGCAGACCGCGACTCTCCCGTGTGAGTTCATGTTGGCAACTGCTGCTTCCAACATGCTCCCTCCCACATTGTCAAAATATATGTCTATTCCATCTGGGAAACACCTGTTCAAACAATTGCACAATGTTTCTATCTTTTGAGGTAAGGGTAACTTTGGCTCAAGTTGTTGAAAAATTGGCTGGAATGACGGAATTGGAAGAATTACATATTTACTTTAAATAAATTGAAGAGAGCTATACCTACATAGGCTGAAGACAGGGGTAGAAGTGTCATTTTCATTTATTTGTGCTTCAGTAAAAGTTAAAAGAACCCAGCTTATATATGCTACTGTTTGTGTTGTGCTTCGGCATCTTTAAATTTAAATAAGTTGGTGTTTTGGTAAATGATAATGCTCATAAGTAGATTTTTTATCGGACATTTACACTGTTTATGGGAGTATGCTTCAAAATTCGTTATCTAACTTGAAAAGAAAGTCCTAATTATTCATAAAAAATTCTTAGAGCAGAAGGGTAAAAAACGTGTCAGATTAAGTTGAACCCAAAAATAAATTTATAAAATCATGTAACATAACTGAATAGTTATACATTGACCATCACTCTTATTATTATTAAGGTGGAGGGAGTATTAAACTTCTTCCATAAAAATGAATATCAAATGGTGGGAATGATAGAGCAAATTGAAAACTGGAGAGTCTGAGACAGAAATAGATCATTGGACCTTTTTAGAGCTGAATTGAGATCAGGTTCTTGTTTGTAGTTAAATGCATCATCAAAACCAAGCCTCTCTCTCAGTATCTTCACCTGGAATACATCTAACTCACAATACTATTATTGAATGTTTTCCACCTTAACTAAAAAAATTGGAAGGCAGCTAAAGATGAAGTAAATTAGAGTGCTCCATAGGGAGCATGTTAGCGCACTCCATATGGAGCATGTCAGCGTGCTGCATAAGGAGCATGTTAGCGTGTGATAGGAACAGAATCGAGAGAGAGAATTTGATGTGTATTAAGAACGTAAATGAAGAAAGTGAAAGGAAACCATACAAATTGAGACACTTCGAGTAGTCTCAGCACTCCCCCAGATTAATTTCTGCCTGCCTTCTTATTTTACTCCCCCTCCTATTTATTATAACTCCCTTATGGGCTGGCCCAAAGCTAACTAGTGCCTGGCCCAGAACCCTTATTAATACAATATCAAATTACTTAGTACGTAGTATAATTTTATTATTAGGGAAAATTGTCAAATAGGTCCTCGAACTTTCATAAAAAGGTCAATTAAATCCTTCTATATGAGGTTCTGTCCGGCCGTCGCAATTTGGGGCAGTTCCCGGTGGAATTTTTTGATGAATTTTTTTAGCATCTTATTCACCAAGTCTAGTTTACTCATACCAAATTTCAGCTAAAATTTCAACTGGGAACACATTCAAATTAATTCTTGAAGATAAATGCGCATTTTTGCGTTCTCGAATTAATTTGAATGCGCTCCCGATTAAATTTTTAGCTGAAATTTGGTATGAGTGAACTAGACTTGATGAATAAGATGCTCAAAAAAATTTATAAAAAAATTCAACCGGGAACCGCCCCAAATCGCGACGACCGGACAAAGTCTTCTATAGAACGACTTAATTGACTTTTTTATGAAAGTTCGAGGACCTGTTTGACAGTTTTCCCTTATTATTATTATTATTATTAGAATTGGCTGTCCATGTCCCTATCAGCGTGTTCCATAAGCAACATGTTAGCGTGCTCCATAAGAAGCATGCTGCCTAGGTGGCTTAATAGAACGCACCCATTTCACTTTTGTTGAGTTAGTGTCTGTGAGGAGGTACATCCTGCTCAAGCATCTCAACAGCGCATTTATTATAGAGTAAGCTAATTATCTCAACGGTGCAATTTTGGACGCGATTTTCACTGTGGGTCATCCGGAAACAGTCTCTCTATGCTTTAGTATAGGGGTAAGACTGCGTACATACGACCCCCCTTACCCCAGCATAGATGGGAGCCTTTGCGTCACTGGGGTAAATGAAAATGATGATGAAGCTAAGAAGTTCGTTAAATTTAAGGGCGACGGATGACCTTTTGTTGGGAGCCAGCAGAGCCAACGACATAACATCCAAATAATTTAGCGTACTGTCCAACTAAATTCCCAACTGATCCTGAGGCAGCAGAGACAAAAACCTTCTCCCCTTTCTGGGGTTTGCAAACATCAAAAAAACCCGCATAGGCTGTCAGTCCACTAAACCCTGCAGAAATTTGTATGACCTTTTCACGTATTCAACATTGATGCTTTTTTACTCAAACTGTCATTTTTGTTTCTTTTTTGTCGGGGTTTGAAATGCTTGTAAGTTTTTTTTAAAGAAACAAGTGTTCAAAAGCATTTTTTACCTAAAGAGGAATCATATTTCATGAAATGGAATCATTTTTTATGTAACTTGCCAACAAATTCTAAAGCTAGAAACAAGTGCAATAGGGCAAAATATAATGAAGCCAGAAAGTAAATTTTAAAAATATTAATACCATTCCAAGATTTGTAAGAGTTAAATCTTGCCAAAGTTTAAAAAAAGTTGCACCGTGGTGAATACGACTCTTTAAAACGGAGGGTGTAGTACCCTACGGCTACATTGCAGAAATTAAATTGATTCAGAGTGCAAAATAATGATTTTCCCTTGCTTTGAACTAGTTAAAAAAGAGATACCACATTCATCATATAAAAAATTAATCACCAAGATACATTTAAAAAAAAATACTCCGTAGTAAGGTTTAACAATTAGAATCCATCAATGATTGTAGCGATTTATGACGTTATTTGTTGGTTTCACTAAATCTACCTGTACACTTCTGTTTCATTTTAAATTACATCTAATATAATGAAAATAAATTATTTGCAAAAAAAAAATAATGAAAATAAATTCTTTCATTCCAAAATAACTTCTGCAAGGGTCCCTCCGCCTTGATTCAATCTTTTTTAGTACTCCCTCCGTCGCGAAAAGGTTGGCCAAATTTCCTTTTATGGATGTCCCAAAAAGATTTGACATTTTCATTTAAAGTAAAGTTAATTCTCTCTCCTCTGCACAAATTTCAACCACACGATTTTTACTTTATTAATCCACGTGAAAGCAAACTTTGGTCAACCTTTTCGGGATGGAGGGAGTATGATGTAACCTATGTGCATTATAACTAAGAGGACAAACAAGATGATGCAAGTGGTACCTAAAATTCCAACATGGTAGGATAATGGAAAGCTAACCGGATCCAACTTATTCAACAGAGAGCCATCTTTTACATAACTGTATTCTCCCCAACTAAGAAGCCCTGCAACCAGGTCATCCTTCTTGATGTCATCCCTGCTAGACACCATAACTTTTCCCACTCCATATGCATCAATGCTCTGTAAATTGATGGACAAACTTTGGTATATATTAGCTGGTTAATTAAGAAGGCATTACATAAGCCATTTGAGAAAAAGTTTTGCAACTTGGAAAACATTATTGTGTTCTGAAAACTTGATTTACGTGCTCCTAGAGCATGCTTATAAGTTTGAACTTCGAAAATAAAAGTTGTTAAGTTGGGAAGACTTCAAATCACTGTCTTTTTTAGCGCTTAGATAGCTAATTGGTAAAGTGTAAAAAATACTCCGTATTTTATACGGGTGGTGTTAAAAGCACTGGTTTTTACATAAAAATATTTTTACTTGGATTGAAATTTTATGGTCAAAGTTTGGTGTGGTTTGATCTGAAATAAGTTCAAGTACAAGGTTAAAATCCGGAACCTGAGAACCCACTACCCACTTGTCTAATATTAAGACCTGGGAGGAGTAGCCAGTCTATTTTCAGTTTTAACAACCACTTCAACATGCCTCACAGCTCGGGCTGAACAAGGTGGACAAATATGCAAAATCGGCCCTAAACAATGTACCCAAACTATGAATGTCATATTAAGATTTGGATTCCATGTCATATGGCTAATCTGATATTAGTGGTCCTAACTTATAGTCCAAAATCTTATACTACCTTCATTCTTAAACGAGTGCAACATATTAAATTTCACATTATTCAGTATTCACATGTTCTACTTTGCTTACGTTAATCTACTAATAAATTATTGTGATAATTTGAGTTTGCACCTCATTTTATTGTCTCAATTGAACTTTGCATCCCATTTAATTTTGTTTTTGTTTTTGTACCCAATCCCGCATGAAAACATAAAAATGTGCCTCCATTAGCAATTATGTTGGCCTTTTTACACCAATCGGGGGTGGGGGTGCAAGGAGGTAGTACAGGCGGTGAGAAAGACATCCATATTTGTTTTTATTTTTTATGGATTTTTCCTATTTTTATTAATTTTTAGATTGTTATTTTATAAATATTTTATTAAGTTTTTCTTATTTTTCTACGATTTTTATTATTTTTTACGATTTTATTATGAACTAAAACATTTAATTATGACTCTTAAACGCCTTTTACTCTTATTTAAAGGATATTTAAAAGAGGGGTAAGAATGGAATGGAAACATAAGAAGTACAGAGTAGTATATTTTATTTTTATCTAGTTTTACTCCTATTTAGGGTAATTTCTATTTCAACAACAAAAAAGGACACAATAAGTCTTACTTTTTCACAACATTTGAATCACATGAAATACTTATGTGCTATGTTGCACGGATACGGATACGCCGATACGTCGATATGCGAATACGGATACGGTGATACGGCAATTTCAAAAATTATAGGATACGGGTATGGGGGTATATTTATATATAATAAAAATATAAGGTATAATTTGCAAATATATATATAATTCAGTAGTTTCATAAATAAAATAATAATAATAATAGTACAAGAAATTAAGTATTGTAATAAAATTTCAAAGATTAGGCTAAAAAAACTAAAGTACTGATATTTCGATTTAAATTCAAATAATATTTTTGTTCTCTATTTGCATTTATGACAAATTATAGTATTCCATTATTTTTCATACTCCCGAAATCATCTTTATCAATATTCCACATCTTGTGATCGCTTGGATAGCTACTTGATTTTTGTCGAGTTTTGTATGAAATGAGGGTTATAGGGTTAGACACGCGTATCGGTTCACAGATACGAGTATTCGAAGTATCGGTATTTTTAAAAATAAGTTGATACTTTTATACTACCTCCGTCCCTTTTATATTGGGATGGAAGATGATGACACGAGTTTTAAGAAAAGTGGGTTTATGTGGTTGATATTAAAGAATAAAGTAAGAATAATTTTGAGTCCCACAAACTTTACAAAATAAGGTACCCCCTCCGTCCCAAAATGGTTGGCCAAATTTCCTTTTTTGGCCGTCCCAAAAAGGTTGGCCATTTCCATTTAAAGTAAGGAATATGTGGTTAAAGTTAATTCTCTCTCCTCTGCATAAATTTTAACCACACAGTTTTTACTTTATTAATCCACGTGCAAGTCAACATTGGCCAACGATTTTGGGACGGAGGGAGTATGAGACAATTAAATAGGGACATCCCGGTAAAACAGGACATTTAAAAGGGGACGGAGGGAGTATTAAATTACGTATCAGTTGGTATCGGTATTAGATGCATATCGAGTTCACAGATAATTCATAGATAAGGTATCGAGGTGAAGTATCGGGACACCATACTTAGGTGTCAGTTGATTATTCATAGTGAATATGAGCAAGGAAGAATGATAACTTACCTCACCAGGAACAATAGAAGCTGAGTAATCAATGGCCCGCTGCGAGGAGCTTTGTGACTTCATCCGGTTTAGTTGGTACGGATCGATCGATACGTAAAGGTTCTTAACCACAACACCTTTCGAACCGGGTTCAATTGACAGAGAAACATTCTCAACCTTCAATTCGAAGTCTGATTCCTTTGGCGCACCATCTATGCTATTCTTAATAGCCACGTACTGGTTAGTTACTACCGTCTTCTCTGGACTGGCCTTTGCTTCCATTCTCTTTTGAGCTCCTATAGCCTTTGTATTTGAACATCTGTGGAACGGTCTTCCGTACGATTCCGAGTGGGTGCGGTTGTGACTGTTGATTTTTTACCTCAAACCAAATATAGAAGGAAAAATTCACACTAATAATCCCACCTATTGATGGTCTTCTATTATTAATCCCTTTTACTTGTTATTCCGCAATAATACGAACTAAGGGGTTAGTCTTCCCCCTTTACTCTGGGAGTACCGGCAACCGGGTTACCCAACTAATTATTTTAAATGCGTGTAACTAAAAACGATCGAGGCAGCCTCTTAAACAGACCTCCCTGTACACAGCTCCATCCCAGAAGTTTGACTCTCGTCTTGAAGCTCACAGCGCCACCCGTTAATGGACTGAAAGTCTTCGACGCCTAGCTAATATACTGCCGGCCGGACATTGAAAGCAAAATGGCAAGTGTATTTGTCTAAAATTATGACTAACCCTATAATATTGGGTGAAATTTAGGGTTTTGTGTTTAACATGAATTTTAACTCTATAAGTTTAACGTGAAAATTGAATATGTACATTTGGTAACGACATTAACCCTACAAGTGTGAAGTTTTCCAATTTAGGTGGGATTATTAGTTTTTTGAATCTACCACAGTAAACCTTGAAATGGTATTTTTAGTGTAATTTTTTCCACAGTTAAAGGGTTTTGAATAGTGTTTTTAATCTACGACAATAACTCTTTAAATGGTTTTTTGTGTGTCAATTTTTCCACATTTAGGTGGGATTATTAGTGTTTTTAATATACTACATTAACCCTTTAAATGGTATTTTAATATATGATATTAACCCTTTAAATGGTTAGGGTTTGTAATCTATGAAATTAACCCTTTAATAAGCTTTTGTTAAGGTTTTAATCTATGAAATTAACCTTTAAATGGTATTTTTGAGGTTGTAGACGATAGTCATGTCTGTCTGCGCTTATGGCATGGAGGTATATTCAAGAAGAACAACACGGGAACATTAGAATATGTGGGAGGTGAATCGAGGATGTTTGATACAGATGCAGATGAACTTTGCTAGTTCTGGTTAGAGGCAAGGGGAAAGGACCTTCAGGAAGACAGGTATTAATGAATTTTTAGATGGAATTTAAATTGGATGGTGGATATACTTGATGTTTTTTGGACGCAGGTACCTCAGGGATTTGGGGTGTTCATTGATGATCATGTCAACTCATTTGTTAATGTGAGGATAATTGATTTGCTTTGGACATTTCTATGACTTTTTAGTGCATTTTTATTAAATAAAGTGTGATTTTGTTTGTATGCACCTGGTCAGGTTGGAGGTCCGCAAATCATTTCAGAGGCTGCCCATCCTCCTTCAAGCAATGCCACGACATAAGTGGGCATTTTAATATTTGGGCCGAAGTTTGGTGTACTATGTCTTCAATATGTGATGAATATGTACTTCCTAGATGATTTAATTTCAATGTTATGCTTGTTTCTTGTTGGATTTGGTAACCAATATTGTTTCAGTTGGATGATGTCTTTTCGTTGATGCATTTTAGATGTGTTACATACCATTGAGATTTTTATGGTTTTTTAGATGTGGGAACCAATATTGTTTCAGATCTTGTGTTAAGTCAATTTCAGATTGTTATGACTTATTACCACTTTTAAATGCACTTATTTCCAAGTTTGAGGGTAATACTGAGTTTTCTCCAATTGATTTAGCTGGAGCAGCAGAATACCAAAGGATAAGCCATAACCGTTTTAGCTTGACCAATAGATTCAATTTTAATTGGGATTGAGCAACAGATTGTTCCATTCTCCACCTGTTGAGTCACCCACTGAAATGTACTGCAGTCTTATAAGTAAACCTCTGCATTTTGAACGAAAAAGATTGAAAAGGAATGGTATGAGCATGTCCTGCGATTTTTCTTCTGTCCTAGTCATCATTTGTTCCAGAGTCCATCTTCAGTATTGACTCAAAACTAACTTCTAGAACAGGATCCTATCATTCATCATTTCATCATTTTCATTTACCCCAGTGCCGCAAAGGCTCCCACCTACGGTGGGGTAGGGGGGGGGGGGGTCGGATGTATGCAGTCTTACCTCTGTACTAAAGCACAGAGAGACTGTTTCCGGATGACCCATAGTGAAAATCGCGTCCAAAATTGCATGGGCTGACTGCTACTTCATAACAAAGAAGCGCAGACAATTTAGTGAGCCATTTTGCTTTATTCCATCAGTTTAGAACAGGATCCTATATTGATGTTAATTACAAAGTCCATCTTTAGCATATGGTTTACTGCCAAGTAGTATGCCTTATCAATATGAAAAGCTTCCAAGTGTTGCCAGGTAGTATGCCAAGTAGATTTAGCAAATGGTAGGAAGGGTACACATTGCATAATGCAGACTGTTGTGAGCTACAACTTAATCATACAGACACTTCTTCAAAGATAAATTTAAGTTTCCAAACATACATTTCATAGACATGGTAGAAAGGGTACATATTACACATTGTTATGTAACCTCAAACAAGGGCATTCATAACAAGGGTACAAAACTACAAATGATAAGACATTGTAATCAAACAAATACATTAGTAGCAACTTCATTCTTATACATTTGACTTGAAATAGCTAAAAATAGCAAACACTTTTCAAGATACAAGTACAACCATCACAACATATCTCTCTCCTTTAGCACTTTTGGAAGCCATCTTCTGCGCTTCAGTTATCAAAGCAATCATTTTCTTTTTATTCTTCTTCAGCTTTTGCACTTTGTCTTCCAAATTCTTCTTATCTGTCAACAATTTCTCAATCACTATGTCTTTATCCTTCATTTTGTAATCATCAACATGCAACTCATTGTCATTGTACCATTGAAAGTAGCCACAATCTGCATTCTAAACACACCATACCAAAAAATATTTAATCTGCATTCTAAAGACAATAAGCATTCTACGAAAATTAAACATAGTGTGCAGATCACAAAGTGTACATATCTCTTTCACAAGTTCAACCAAACCTTGGTAGCGCATATATGAAAAACGAGGGCTGACCTTACCAAAATTTAAATTCTTTTTCTTTGATTTTTGAACTAAATTTGCAGAGCAAAATTGGCATCAGCTAACCTAAATTCGTGGGATAACCAAATAATTATACCAGTCCAATCAAATAGAAAAACGAGGAATACTTACTAGCTAAAGTGAGCATCCAAAAAAATTCCGTCCAAGGTCCGCACCTTCCTTCACTGTTCTCAGTTTGGCCTCTATGTTGTGGCCACAATTACCTCCAATTGCGTAGCATGCCGAAGAAGACGACCCACTGGCGGATTTCATTACAAACTCCGTGTTTCCCTTCTCTGACCTCCAAGCGACTGACATTAATGACAGCAGGGTTTCAAATCGTTATCCACCACTCACGTTCGCTATCCTCCTTCGTCCTCGATGCGTTTCATATGTCCAAGCCGGCTCAGATTTGTAAAGGGGGGAGCTGAGATTAATACCCACGTGCGATCACGTGAGTTTTATTTACCGGCTAAGACCGGGCCTTCAGGTTAACGAAGTAAAGGGGGAAGACTAACCCCTTAGTTCGTATTATTTCAGAATAACAAGTAGGAGGGATTAATAATAGAAGACCATCAATAGGTGGGATTATTGGTGTGAATTGTAGTGAAAAGTTCTGTTCGGTTCGGTTTTACACTCTAAAACTTGAAACCACGGTTTGATTGGTTCGGTTTGTTTCGGTTCGGTTTCGATTTTTTTGGTTTTTACCAAAAAATTCTCACTTGATTTAAAATAGATATAATATTTAGAGGGATCAAACATACTCCCTCCGTCTCATTTTACCTGTCTTACTTTCCTTTTTGGGTTGTATCAAAATAAGTGTCACATTTCCCTTTTTAGAAAGAAATATGTGATTCACAACATTTCACTTTACTATACTCAAATCTCAACCACAACTTTTACCTTTTCAACCACTTTATTAAAAATTGTGCTAAAATCAAAGGAGACACATAAAATGGGACGGAGGTAGTATTACATAAAGAATGCAAGCACAATGCAACAACAAATAAAATAAAAATGAGAAAAGATAAATATGTCTTGAATTATATGAGTATGCGAGATAGAAAAAACTGTATATATTATTGATTTAATTTGTTTGTGAATAGTTCGAAAAATGTTCATGAATATGTACGTTCTATGTGATATAGTTGAGATGAATATTTATTGATATCTAAAAATAAAAGTTAATTACTACTCCGTACTAATAACTAGTAAACGCATATTATCATCATTCAATATAGGTTATATATATAGCTACATTGTTAAAGACAATCAACGTGTAAATGAATTTATAAACTAAATTAAATTAAACATAAAACAAACATCATTTCTCTAACACAAGAAAACCAAAGATTATTGATGGTATTAAGATTAATTAGAATTAATGCTTAACAATTAACATATAAATTTCATATTTTAAATAGTTCGGTTTGTTCGGTTCGGTTCGGTTTTGAAGGATAAAAACCAAAACCGAACCAAACAACTTCGGTTCGGTTCGGTTTTTTACATTCGGTTTCGGCTTCTTAGCGGTTCGGTTTTATTTGGCCAAGGTTCGGTTTAATTTGATTCGATTTTCGGTTTTCGGTTTTCGGTTTTTCGGACACAGTCCTATCCGGACAGGCGGTTCAGTTCTTATATCGTGTGAAAAGTCAGATCATGGTAACAAGATGATGTAACTCGCGAGTAAAAAATACGGAGTACAAGGCACATTAATGAAA